TTCGAAAGAAATGCAGGTGCAAAATGGAAGTACTGGACATTTCAAAGTGGTAAAATTTGCCGTATCAAGTTCCTCCGATTCACCAGTCCCGCCCCTCTCGCTCGTTGCACTTTCAAACATCTGGGATGGCATATTGAAATACATCACGTAGTAATAGGTTCAGCGACACTGACACTGACGACACAATCGTCGACTGAGGGATGGAGCGAGGAGGGGGTGGGAGTGGTATGGCTGAAACAGGCCTCGTGGCGGTTGAACCAAAATGAAACGTCAGGCCATTTTATGCTGAACATACCGCTCCAAATATCTCTATTTATCTTACCGAAAAATTTCATGGCTCATTTCCATACTGCGAAAAAATGCCATATTGGTCTCATTTCAGCTGGATGGGAGAAATACGCCGAGGATTACTGTTTTATTGCAAACTCCTACTATGTACCATTCGATGAGGAGATTCCAGTCGATATCGAACATCGCAAGGATCACATCAGCTATTATCGATGGGTGCCAATTATGCTGGCTTCTACAGGTATTATTTTGGCTAAATCAAAGATACAGTCCGGGAGTCCTAGACATCCTTGCGCGGCGCGACCATATGCCCCGCCCACCACCATAGACCCCGCCCACAAATCAATGCTATTTCGCCTTGCCGCTACTGGAGAGGAAGGCTTTACTGTCTTCCTTGTCGACAGTTCCTTCCGTTTTCATTACTGGCGTTACAGTTGACATCTCCACGGTCAGCTACAAGCGCAACAACCCATCGGTTCGATCCCAGACTGTGCCTTTAGAAAAATCACTTTCATAGAATTGTGCTTATTCATATGATTGTTGACGTTCAGGCGATCATGTTCTTCATACCGAACTGGATTTGGAATATGCTGCATAAACAAACTGGTTTGTCATCTTGGCCTTTCAGTATGATTAATTTAGTCCTGTCATACTGAACGATATTTTTAGCAATCAATCCGAGAGAGTTTTTAAAAGAAGCGGAAAAAGCCCGGTACGCCGTAGGAGAAAAAAGGGACAAAGAAATTGAATCACTAGCGAACTATTTTATGGAAACTGTGGCTGTTTTCCAACCGGACCTGAAAGGAAAGGTGAGTTCGTTTTATTAGGAGGAAGAAAATGAAAAGGAACAGATTGACAAAGAAAAGTTGCCGAGAGTGCGTGTTCCATCCTTGTTCTCCGTTATTTTGAAGGTGGGGGAGGAAAACTCACAAGCGGCGCGGATGCGGCGCGCAGCTGATGATGTCACAGCTGGGATGACCGCGGCGATCGAACGACTGATGATAAATGCTCGCATAATATAAGGGATGCATCAAAATTCCAGCGGTAGCATCGTCCCTTGCTACTTTTCTTGTGGCCGCTGTGACGTCACAGTGACGTCAACAGTCACGCCCGCTTCCGCGCCGCCGGTGTGCTTTTCCATGGGTGTACACGGATAAAGTAAACTTCTCATTTTGTTTTGTGGCATCGATTCGCTGTTTTACCTGTGTTCTTTTTTTCAGAGATACTCATCGCCCCGTTCCGGGTACAATGCAACGTTGCTATACCTTTTTACAAAAGCCGCCTACGTTACTAATATTTGTGTGCAAATCGTTATTCTTAATCACTTTCTCGGGCAAAACTACCTCAACTGGGGATATGAGGTTGGTACTACTTAACAACTTCGTATAGGATTTGCTATTCATGTTATTTACTTCTTTTCAGATGACATCCAATATTGTTCAAGGTAATGAATGGAAGGAAACAGAAGTCTTCCCTCGGGTGATCATGTGTGACTTTCAGGTCGGCTCATTCATAACTAGATTATCTTGTCTTTGTGTGCTGCTAAGCCTGCTATGTCCAGCTGTTCAAAGGGGAACTCCTCGATAATATCGGAGGTCGAAGCATAGCAGGACCCCAACGCGCCGCTGACGGCGCGGCACGCCCACCCTGCCATCGTCCGACTCTAGCCGTTTGGCAGAGAGAGCGTTAGCGTTGAAGAGGGCAGCATCGATGAGAGTCGCATCAATGAAATCAACGGGCAAGGAAGGGGTCCCATTTCTCGGGTTCTGGGCCGTTTTTCATGGTTTTTCTTCATCTGGACCACTGACCACCTCCGGCTTGATTTCTAGTGGACTGCCTCTGCCAAAATTTTGAAATCAACCCTTATCCATGTCTTGATTACCATTAGGCAGTCCTTATCACCATTTGTTAACCGAAGTCCCTCCTTCCCCATGCGTTTTGTTCTGTTCAAATCTCAAATCTACAATGGCGGGGATGCGCGCCGCGCGATTGCAGCGGGTCTCCGATCAATACTCATCGCTTCCTTATGCGCTCGCTCGTCGACCTTGTCGCGTTGTGATCTCAGGCGCATTCGCAGACGTCCTTTTGACATTTGAACGTGTTATAGCTGGAATTTCAACCGGCACGTAATCAAAATATGAACATGGGCGCAAAGTGCCTTGGGATGGGGGGGGGGAGCATTCTGTATTAAGGACCCTCGGACTCGGAGGGGGAACGAACGCTGGAGGTTGTGAAATTCGCTCATGCACCCCTGGGATCCCTCTTTTTCTATATTAGTCCCAAAACTGAGTGTCCCCTCCCCCGGAACTACATTGCGCCTAAACATAGAATAGTAGGTACTTAACAGACACAGGAATAAATTTTCACCTCTCTTAGTTTTGATCTATGATTTAAATAGTTATTATTGCAGATTCGTCGTCTTGCCAACCTTCAACGTCATACTGTACAATGCGTTATAATGATGAATATGATCAACGAAAAATTGTACCTCTTTTTGTATTTTTGGTAAGTTTTCACCAAACAAATTTATGCCTCTTTTCGCTTACTTCATTACTGGCCTTGGCCAACGCGCGCCGGCAAAGTGAAGGGAAAGTTCATGTTACTGTAACGTCAACCTTTATTGGAAACAATGATTAATTTTTCAAAGTGTACGTGGTAGCATTCACATATGTTGGAGTTTAGTGAGACACTGAGCGCTACTGGCTACAATTCTTGTCAGGGTTGGAAAGGGCTCATAAATGGCTACTCAGGACTTCAATGCTAATCTTCTGTGACCTTACGAAACTGCTTACGCTCGAAGCATCTTTAAAAGCGAATTTGTATATCAAGAAAATGTCCCCTCAAAAACAAAGGACTTGAGGTACTCTCGCCTACAATTAATCCCTCCTTTTGAAAAAAAAAAAGAAGAAATAAGGATCTAGGTAGCGTAAGTAGTATCGTGTGAAAAAAGAAATTAAACACTAAAACGAGCCCTCCTGACCTAAGTCATCCTGTGCACAACGGAGGCGACGCAGTCACGCCAAGGAGTATAATGCACAATAGAGCACGCCTACCGATGAGCAGATACGGCGCGATTTCGCAGCACGTCGTAGCTGGGCCAATATGGCTCCCAATTGAGGCCACCGGCAAGGCCCTATCTCGCGTACTTTCGAGCCGTGTGAGTAGCGACCGGCGCAGCTCTATCCTACCTGCCGAAGGTGTTAGTCTAGGGATTTTATTCGGCGGACTCTGCCTTCAAAAGAAATCCTCAGATCATTTCAATTTATTTTTATTTCAGGATGTTTTTCCTCGGGATCGCTACAATCATAAACTTCATCTACTTTACCAAATGACGGGTGATGATCATGTCCACCTTTCTCGATCACTACAACTGATTCTATTCAACCCCCACACCACCACATTCGCGCCAATGTCACCTAACCATGGTAAGCTCGATTCGCAAACTTGAGCTTCCAACATTATTGCGCTTTAAACATCAAAGATATTGCTGTGTGGTTTTAATGACGTCGTTGAGCGACGTCAGGCTTCTAGCGAAATCGAGCGATTCGTCTAGCGTCTCGTCGCGTGGCGGCCCAGCGCTGTTCTTCGTGGGCCGCTATCGCACGGCATATAAAAATCCTTCTATACTGGACTTCCGCGGTGGTAATGGCAAAATTAAATGAAGCGATTCGTTGAAGAATTCCTCCATTCCGGATGGTTTCTTGCGTTGCACGTTCGTTCGTGCAGATTTGGTGGTCGAGTCGCGTACGACCTCGTCAACAAAATCTTTGAGCAATTTGCGGAAAATGATGTGAGTCCATTTTCGCCGAATACACTAAAATACGGATCTTCTTTTTATCTGGGCGTGTCTATAAGGGGTGACAGTTCTAAGATAACGGCATATTGTGAGACAGCATAGGAGCGAGAGAAACGCAGACACCAACGCATTCGCATCAGATGTGTATGGATGTTAATCGCAAGTCATAGGCCCTTAGGTCCTTGTCACGTCCTTGAAGTCACGACAGTGGCACTAGCTTTGTAGCGGACTCAGATAATTCAGTGGATTTCCTTCAATGGGGTAATCGCGAAAAGTTCTCTCTAAAAGTCTAAAGCTTTAGATGCGCCGCGTATCCTTAGCTTGTTAGAAATCACCGAAGTGCCTGCATGAGGGTTGGCCTATGCATTTTTTGGGGAAGGGGGGTTGGGGAGGGGAGTGAAGCTCTTTCAGTCAAGGGGTGGAGGACTCAAAGGCACGGGTCATGATTATGCTGTCAAACTTCGATACTGTTGGTTTCCCTTCAATACTGTTGCTGCGTCTGCAGCCACAGAGGTTACGCTACGCTCGCGACGAAACTGCGCAGTAATAAAGCCTGTGGCCTTCAGGGCTAAGGCACTGTGTCGTGGGCTGTGACCGCCCACCTCATCATCATGTCCAGAAAACTCGTTTGGTCACGCCCCACAGCCTATTGAAACCAAGGTCGAGATGGTCAAGTGACGCAGAGTTGAAGAAGTAAGTAAGAGAAAGGGCCGAAAACCCAAGTAATGAGATCTTTTTCGTGCGTTGATTTGCTCGTCAAGCCACTTTCATCTTTGCTAATCTTATCACGCTTACGCTCCCTCTGCTAAAGCGGCTAGAGTCAGACGGCGAGGGATCAGCCAATAGAAGGGAGCGCGGCGCATTCAGCCCTGATAGGCCGAGGGGGCATACCCTTCACTACGGAACGCGCCCTTCCCTCTCATTTATGAGGGCTGTTTCCCACGAGTTATATTCAACCTTCTTCAACCTTCGACCTTATCGTGGAATCAAAGGCTCTGTTTCTGGCATGAGCGTCGGAAGCGCGGCGCATGCGGGATTGATCGATAAACCTTTCAAAATTTCCTAAGGAACAGCTACACAGAATAACTTCACGTAGACTCGAAAAATTGGTGAAATCAATAACTTAATCGATTTTCATTCAGAATTCATCAAATAACTCGATGAAGAAGCAACCTCCTTCACCAATCGAGAAATACTCACGACCTCCACATTTCCTCGGCTTTCCACCACGCCAGTCCTCAAACCAGGTAACTCAGATGGAATACGGTGGGCACAGGGGTGTATGTCAACAGATTCGTCCGCGTCGCCACGCTAGCGGTCGTGGCCGCGGCGTCGCAATGCAGTGGACGAGTTTTTGTGTGCGTCATTCGAATTTGAATGTTAAAGGGACGCCAAGCTGATTCGTCCCTGTAGGCAGGTAGAAACTGTGTATTGTCGCTCTTATGAGCATCACTTTCGATTGCAAGTGATTACTGTAGACTGCGAGCAATTCACAAATTCCATCGTCAAACTTAAAAATTGCCGCGTCCATCCGTCGTGATGCCGCGCAATTTGCCGCGCGCGGCAAGCGGACGATTCTGTTGACCGCTGCCTGGGTATCGTAGAACGAATTTCAATGTCACTAATAAAGATTGAGTATTTAGGGTTACTTTCCTGCACTCAGCTCGGCCCCAATGCTTGAAGAATATATGGATCATGGCACAATGAGAATCGGCGAAAAAGCCGATCCTCAAGCCGATCACTCGTCACGGCGTAGTCCAACTGACGTCTGAAATATCAAAACACTTCTCTGAGTAGATATTTGTCATTGATTTATTAACTCACACAGGTAGTTGCTTATTTGTAGTAGGTCATTTGGTCTCAGTGTCTTTTCTTCGTCTGTCAGTTATCGTGTTTAGTCGATGACGTGAAAGCCGTCAATAATTGTCAGATCTGTTACGCGCTTTCTCTCATCGATTCATCTATATACGTGTAAGTAGTTTCGGCTAACCTTTCATTCACTAATCAATAATTATCAGTAGTGTAAGATTTTTT